GACTGTGTGTATGTATTCAGCAGTCTGTCTGTGTATGTATTGCATTTGTTGGAGATACTAATAAATATAAGCTCAATTTTATCTATTTATATCATTATTTAAAATTTGTATCATTGAACTCTGTGTTCTTTTAAAACAAAAGTTATTAGTTCGGACAACAGTACGAGTTGTTTTTATCTAAACTTAAACCTCAGTATTTGGGTTTAATTGCCGTGTTGGCACTTTAAGGAGAAAAAATGTTGGCATGTATTGCGGATTGGGCACTCGGGCTCAAAAAGGTTCGCCATCACTGCCCTAGACTGAAAGCTCATTTGAGAAGGGTCTTCATCAAGCAATTGTTCCTGTAACATTTTGTAATTGTAATTTATTGGTAAATTTGACCTTTTTCTAATATTGAAAGTACTGCAATATAAGTTGGCACTACATAAATGCCAAAAATAATAACAGTAATAATTAATAATACATTACGTGTATATATACTATTTGTATGCACACATATACATACATACACATGTATGCATGCTACTACAAATCGTGAATTGAGCTAAACCATTTTTTTTAAATTAAACATTTTCATCCTTTTAAGCACACAGACTCATTGACACACACTGGTTAACAAACACACACTTTCACTGACAAAAACCCGTGTTCTCACTGATACACACTCATTGACATACACTCACTGACAGACACACAGTTTAACCAACACACAATTTTACTGACAAACACACAATTTAACAACACACAATTTTACTGACTGTGCACAGTGAGTCACACTCACTGACAGGCACACAGTGAGTCACACTCACTGACAGGCACAAAGTGACACACACACTGGCAAGCGCACACTCTCTCAGATACACATACACTGACATACACTAACTGACACATTCACACCCTCATTGATAGACACATGACATAAACTCTCACACACTTTCCAACTTACAGACACGACATACACTCACTGACACACACACATTCTCCCTGACAGACACATACTTTCAGATACACATACATTGACATACACACACCCTGAAAGACACACCCTGACATGGTGTGTGTATGACATTGTATGCGTGTCAGTGAAAATGAGTGGTAAATGTGTGACCATTAGATCCTTATGTATTCCATTATAGTAATAATATAGTTTAATATGATTATTATAAGAAAAACTTTTTACTTAAAGTTAAACTTCAGACATGTTTACTGTAACATAAATCACCCCCAAAAGCACTGAATACAGAATTTATCATAAAGGTAAATAATGTATTCAATGTAAAATAATTGTAAACCCACGTTTAATGAAAGGGTGCACTCATAAGACTTCAAATTCAGCAAACCTCATTTTATGTAGTTTTTCAACAGCAAGCATACATCGAACATTTCATTCCCACTTTATACATTAAAAAGCAATAGGACTGAAACATTGATTGTATGTTGATGCACATCTGCTTAAAATAAAGTGTTATTTTTCTATTTATTTTAAAGTCATGTGAGTGCTTTCCTTTACATCAGGGAAATCATTTTCAGATCAAGTAATCACATGTATATCTGCACATTGCTTACCTCACCAGGGTGATATGCAAGAGGTGGGGGACTGGGAGAATGAGTGATGTTAATACAGAGTGAGATGAGGGCATTTATTGTGTAGGTGGAATGCATTAGTTGAGTCAAGTTGAGTGGTATGTTTCCATGAACAAAAATGTATTAAGAGGGTGTTTAAAGGAAGGCAGATTAGGCAAAGTCTGACAGTGTGGGGAAGTGCATTGCAGAGGGTTGGTGCAGAAGAGGTGATTATGACACATGCAAGGAGCAAGACACTGTTCGGTCTTAGGGGGTGGCCTGCAATATATTTATTGAATTATGAGGACAAGTAGTGGGGAACAGCATTACTAAGGGCTTTGTAGGATAGTGTGTGTGTATATTCAATGTAATTCTGCTGTGAATGAAGAGTCAGTGAAGGGACTCACACTGAGGTGCATCTTGCAGAGATACAAAGCAAAGTTAAGGTGGATTAGAATGGCAGAGGCTTTTAAGATGTACTGAAGGGAGCGAGGCATGAGAGATGAAGGCCAGTTAGTAGGTTATTGCAGTAGTAAAGATGAGAAATACCACAGGGAGTCGGTGAGTTACTTAGTTTTGTCAGCAAATGTACACATTTTGGAAATACTGCATAGGTGGTTGATGAAGAAAGCAAATAGATGTGGGGTATAAATGACAGTTTGGACTCAAGTATAATTATAAGGCAGTGGACTTTGAGTGATGAGGAGTTCGTGGTGCTGACAACAATGATAAAAAGTCAGAAATTTGAGCAGTGCTAGGTAAGGGAATTTAAAAGGAGCTCAGTTCTAAACATATTGAATTAAACTCGGAGAAGCATTTTGGGCTGAATTGAAATTCAGGCGAACTTTGATTGATCAGGTGATCGGCTGAATTCCTGAACTTTGACCAGGAATGGATCCAAATCAAGGACCAACTGAACAGCTCACTGCCAAACATGGTTGCTTCAGGGTCATGATTCTGGACTCCACATATAGCACCAAAAAAAGAGATGATAGAAGGGAAAAAAGATGATTGATGGCTGGGGGACAGACACTAAATGTTGATGTTGTTCACAGATCAAGTAGAAGAGAAGTGACCAATAAATGAGGAGAGAGAGATAATATAGAAATGTTCCTATTTTGCACCACATTGTTTGGCACATTATCAAGTCCTTGTTTGCTCTTCTGATTCTGAATCTCGGTGCTAAAGTTCAGCCAAGGTACACCAACATTAGGTTGAATTTTAGGTGTTCCAAAAACAGTTTAAAAAAAAATTAAAAAATTAAACGAAATTAAAAAAAAGGTTAATCCAAGCAAGCCTAACTTCTTCATCATGTCTAACAACCACGAGAAAGTAAAACCACGATAACCAGCTTTTGATGTCAGAAAGGGCAGAGGTAGAGAGATCCAGGGAGGAGAAATAGATATGAGTGTAATAAACATAAAGGTGATATATGAAGCCATAGCGGTTGATGAAGAAGTACAAATGTGCAGAGGAGAGAGTTGTTGTTGTAATGGGCTGTAACAATATCAGGATAGATTATAGTGGAGGGAGGAGACATTTAATAAGTTTTGAAATAGGAGAGGATCCTCAGCATGTAAATTTCAACAGATGCAAATACGAGATGGAGAAGAAGTGGGTTTAACCGATATAGATCAAAATTATAGGAGAGCAAGTTGTTGTGGTCTGAAATAAGAAAAGCGTAACAGGTAAAGTCAGATATAGAGTAGAGGCAGGAAAATGTGAGGTCAATAGATTGCACAGTCACTGTGAGTTGGGAAGAGGATGTAGTATGAGAAACCAAAGGAGGATGTGAGTGAAAGACATTTAGAAGCTGCAGAGGTAGATAGATTAAGAAGGTGATTGTAAGACTTGTAAGAGAGAGATAGTCAGGAGAGTTATGTGGGGAAATGTTTCTAAGGAAAAATAGCAGTTCGTAAGGAGAAACCATAGGGGTTGAGAGGAGGCAAGGTGAAATATGGATAGCATTAAGTTATTATTGGAGGTGCAGTGATATTTAGGAAAAGAGCAGATAGGAGGAGAAGATAAGTAGAGCACTGTAAAGCTTTACAATTTGTACATACACCCTGTTAGTAAGAGGTTGTGTAATATGATACATGCAGCTCCTTCTTCTAGCTCCTTACTTCAGTTGTTAAATCCTGATAGGCACTTGTAACCAGGCCACTTTGAACCAGGGCAGAGAGCCAAGGCTCCAGAAAGCCAGTGTTCCACATTTGTAGCAGTGGATGCTATTATTGGATCAATAATGTTTTTGACTTTAGAGCCACAATAATATGTATTTATTATACATTTTTAAAGTTTTGTTTTTCAGGCCAAATTTTAGATCCTTCACAGATGTATCACTAATTAGACATGTGCAATTTGTTTCTTTCCGAATGTAAATTTGGATAAATTTAAACAATTCGGACGCTTCCGAATGTCAGAATTGCTGAATTTCAGAAGTACCGAATGTATGTGTAAGTGGTCGTGGTGGTTAGGGTTAGGGGTTAGGGTAGTTTTTGGGTTAGGGGAAGGGTTAAGGAGCCCTACAGATGTGTAAGTGGTTGTGGTGGCAAGAGAGGGATGCTTACGAATGTCCGAAGTGCAAAAGTCCCAAATTGCTGAAGTCCCGAATTTCGGAAGTAAAAGGTAAACAAAAGCCCTACAAACTAAATATAAACGAAACGAAAGGGCAAATGCCGAATGCATTACCTTTTCATTTTGTTAATTTAATAGACTATATGCTGCAGGTGAATAAACCCCCACAGCACGGAGAAAATAACAATGTGCATGCGCGAAAAACAAGGAGGGAGCCGGAAGCGCTACCAGCTCACTCATTGTAATAATATTAATTCCTACCCCCCTCACATTAAAACACATGGGGGTCAAAATGACCCTCATATTAATAAAAGGGAGGTTAAATCCTCTAGCATGCCCCTACTCGTGGCATGTGGCCTAAACAAATTTAAAAGTACTAGTGACTGGGCAGCTATAAGCCCCCCCTTATTGCAGTCGGTAGTGCAATAAGGGGGGACCTGGCACATTAATGTAAACAGGGTGAAGTAATGCTGAGTAATTTTACTCATAACACTGTGATTGGTTGTTTTCAACTTGAAAAGCAACCAATCACAGTGTTATGAGTCAAATTACACTGCATGGGAAAATACCAAAGAACTTTCCCATGCTGTGTAAAATGACAGGGCAATCTGATTGGTTGGATTTCAAGCCAACCAGAGTGCTGTGACAGGGAAATGTAGAGACTTACCGGTCAGACTCTTCATTTACCTGTCAGCGCACTCTGACTGGTTGGCTCTGAGCCTAATTGCAGGGCGTGGGAAGGCTTTATAAGCATTTGCCCACCCTGCGGAGCTCAGTCTGTGCCATGCCCTCCATGGGTAAAGAAGGATTATTTTTTTTACAGTCTGGATTTTTTTTTGCGCTATGATTTTTTCTTTTATTTTAACAGTTTCGACGCGTATTATACATTTTTATTTGGCCTTTTTTGTGGCTGAAGAAAGAAAAGAAGAAAGAAAATATCAATGGCAAATATGAAATTTTATATTACATTGTTCGTTTATTGCCCCCCCCGCTATTATTAGGGTGAGTGGGTAGATAGGGTATTTGTATTGGGAGGGGGCAGTGACTAGAGGCTTGGGGACCTCAAGTCACTTTATTATTTGAGGTCCCCACCCACTGCTCATGGGTGGTGACCTGGGGGGACATTCAGTTCCCCCCCATTATTTTTTTTATTTAGGGTCCCCATCCGCCGCTCATGGGAAGGGACCAGGGGGGACATTAGGTCCCCTTTTAATTAATTAGGGTCTCCACCCACCGCTCTTGGGTGGTGACCTGGGGGATATTCGGTTTCCCCCCCCCATTATTTTTTTATTTAGGGTCCCCACACGCCGTTCATAGGAAGTGACCAGGGGGGACATTAGGTCCCCCTTTATTTAATTAGGGTCCCCACCCACCACTCTTGAGTGGGGATCGGGGGGGACATCAGGTCCCCCCCATTATTTATTTAAGGTCCCCACCCGCCGCTCATGGGTGGGAACCTAGGTACCCCAGTTAATATTAATAAAACATAATGCTGAGGGTCGGGTATATTACCTGGTAACTAATAAAACTTGTTGTTTGTTTCCTTCATCAAGTCTCAACTGATGTTTGGGTATACCAGAGCGCTATATTCATTGAAGCCTTTCGGGAATTGGGAGAACCTGAGGCGGACGTACTACTCTAGGTACCGGCGGTCCATCACAACAACAATCCTGGTCAAAAGTTATACATTTTAAGCCACTCTCCAGTTTCCTACCTTTTGGGAGCAGAAAGGTGTTTTCCTTGGGGTCCAATTAGATATGCTGCCTGATGCTATTTATTATAAGGCAGAACCTCCTCTCTCCCTTCTCCTCTGTCCTCCTGTCCCTCCTGTGTTTCCTCTATTATTTGGGAGTCAGTGACAGGCTCTCACTTCCTCCCAGTGCTGCCAACATAAGAGGGGTGCTCAAGTTAAAGTTGCGCTGTTAGAGGGTGGCAATGCACCACTGGGCCCTGCTGACAAATGCCTAATTGCATGGGCTACCCAACAGGCCCCCTCAGTATGTGAGCTGCACTGGCGATAGTTCTGCTGACTGAGTACCCAGATTTTCCAAACCCTCAAAAACAAGTATGCAAACCTTTTTCTACAGCTATTGGATGGCCCAGTCCCCAAGTTAAAAAAAAAGTAACTTCTCACAAAATCAACCCACCAACTTTTTAAAAAAACAACCAAAAAGAGTGCATCCTGAAAAGGCTTACATTAAACGTAGCTGCGAGCTTGTATAGTGATGGTTTAGAAGTCAAAGTGGATACTCTCAGTAGCCAAGTGGCTTTTAATTGCTTATAATTACTTTTTCTTTGATGTTGTTTCTAGCAAATGCGATTTGCCAAGTCATTATTGGCAGAATAGGCATTTGCAACATGTCACTGATCAAAAACAGACATTTAGGAGCTGGCAATGCAACAAAAAGAAAAAATCTACTCCTGGACTTTTGTAGTTCTTAAAGGGGAAGCGTCACTTACACCATCACCATTTACACCACCAATTAAATAATTAAAATCTATATAACTTCTACAACTCATGTTAACATTTTTTTCAAATATTTATTTTAAATTTATATTAATGATTTAATTAATTACATCATAACCCAGTTTAGGCAAAGCAAAGCCAAGGTAAACATTGCACACAAGGAGACAACTCTGTATGCTCTCAGACTGCCAACGATTGACAGGGAGCTAAGATGGAGGCGCCCAGTTGCAGGACAAAGAAGTGTCGATTTCTACATTAAAATGTATCGTCCACACCTCACAAATACATATTTATTAATTATAGGGATAAGTAAACATAATATTGAAAAAACCTAAGGAGTGCGTTAATCACTTGACTTAATTAAAATACAATGGATTGATCTCCTTGACAAATTAATTGCATTTTTTCATATTCACAATGACGCAAAGCTAATCCTTGTGTTCTATAGTAAAAAATAATAAGTTTGAACTCACAAATTTAGAAAACATCTCAATAAAACAAATATAGATTTTTCGGGGGGAAAAAACATTTAACATGCTTATCTGTCATACAAGCATAATGCAGTGATGAGTGTCCACATATTTTTTTGTGTTCATATAGATATATGTTAGTTAGCTATATATATATGTAAACTTTCTCTAACATGTAAATATATTCCCTTTTAACATCAATAGTATATTGGGGAATACTGTTTAACCACAAATTGATATTCTATACGCTTTCTTTCTTATAAATACAAAAATAAACTATGTTGATGTATATTGTTTCTTTGAGAATCCTACATTTAAATTACAAATATAACCATTTCTGGAAAGAGAGATAATCAGAATAGTGAGGAGCAGACAACCAGCCGCTGACCTTGCTGTCCATCAGTGAAATTGAAAGGCTTTTTTGAAAATGAATTCACTGCAGCACTAAAGAACTTCAATAAACAAAAGGATTAGACCGAGATGGCTCAACATCTTCCCGCATTAGAGAGGTCAGTCAAATAGAGAACAAGTTTTCATTTTTATTCTTTATCTCAATGGAGACCGTTAAAAAAAAATTAATGTGCATTTCAAGATGGCATTCCAAAATCCTTGAATCTTTCTCTTCTTGTTGAAAGTGCCATCTATTTGTCAAAATGCACTTTAAATACAGTGAGCTAAATGTCAACTGTGTCAATTTTCGCTTGGAATTGCAGCAAACCTGTCAATGGTATAAAAGAAGATGTTGTGTGTGAGACAAAATGTCGCTGTTGTATCATTTTTGTCCAACAGAGACATTCATTAGGAAGTAAGTCTTATACCTTTAATTTTAATGTACTGCTGTTCCAAATAAGGCCTAGACTACAGTTAAGTGTTCTAATGCCGCAGGTTATCTTCTATAGAAAGCCTTGGGTAGCACAATAATCAGACTTAAAAATTACTTTCTTACATGAGTTATTTCTTAATATGCTCACAATACAATTCAGAACCTTTTTTTTTTTTACTGCAATATTGTAACTCTTTAAACTAGCATGTTTGTAATGATACTGGAAATATATCTATACTAGTTATATGGTTAAAGGAAGATCAAATAAAATACAGTGCAACAATTAAACAAAAAACTAATGGTGCCTGCGAAAAGAAGATGCCTGGTTTACAATATGGGGAATAATCACAAAGGATTACTACCAAATAACATGAAGAAATCAAAATTTTCTATTTGTCAAAATATATAAGACAAAGTAGGGTCTTACGGTAAAGCCAGAGGTTGACAAAACATGAAAAAAAGTAATGTTTCCACCATCAGGTTTTGTCAATTCCTCCAGCTGCCACTACCAAGGGCAATGGGAGCAGGCAGCTTCTCGTCATGGAAATAGCTTTTTTTGGCATCTTCCATATACATCAGTGTTGTATGCACTAGGGCAGGCATTGGCAACCTTCGGCACTCCAGATGTTTTGGACTACATCCCCCATAATGCTCTTACACCCATAATGCTGGCAAAGCATCATGGGAGGATTAGTCCAAAACATCTGGAGTGCCGAAGGTTGCCTATGCCTGCACTAGGGTATAATGCTCACAAGTCTCCTGGCAGATCTAGTGAAGCTTGGGGAATATGAATATCCCAAGCAGGGATGTCACCTTTGGAAGTCTTGGCAAAATATAAAAAGACCGCCAAAGGTGACAATACAGTTTTAGGGCACTTAAAATGTAGAGAAATGTTGAGCACAAAGGGAGGAGCTAGAGAGAGATACAAAAGATAAAGGTGAGACACAGTGGCGTAACTGGAAACCATGGGGTCCAGTGCCTCCCATATGTCTCCCCTCCCCCCAAGCCCCTCCATGTATCACATGTATGCCCCCCGCCCCTCCATGAGTTTCATTCAGAGTGGCATGGTTGACAGAATTGGAGGGGTTCATGTGAAAGAGTGAAAGAGGACGAGTGTGACAGTGCTGGAGAAGGTGAGTGTGATAGGGTGAAAGGGGATGCGTGTGACAGTGCTAGGCTGTATGATAGGCTGAATATGGCAGAATGATGGGAGGTGAGTATGGCATGGGTGAGTGACCATATTGGGGGAGGTATTGTGAGCGTGGCAGGGTTAAGGGGGGTAAAAGTGTGTGTGTGTGGTTGGGTGACAGTTACACAGACACACACTGACATACATGCAGATACACATGGTATATCACATACAGATAGCTACACAATGACAAACATTCAGATACACAGAATGACACACATACATAGGGCAGACACCTATAGATACACATACATACATACATACATACATACATACACAAACACATGCACAATGTTTTAGTCACCCTCCTGTTTTCTACCTTTTAGGTGCAGGAGAGGAACTTCCCTGTGGTCCAGTGGCTGGCTTCACCTGATGGTAGTGGTTGCTGGGAGGAAGTGACTGGGTCTGTCACTTCCTCCCAGCGTCTGACACCATCACAGGGGGCCCATTGTGCTGTTAAAGCGCTGCAGCACTGACCGAGCCCCCTGGTAATTCATTGCCACTAATTGCCACTAAACACGTGGCCGGCGCTGCGTAACATGGAAGGCGTAACTAATGCATTTGAAGAACATGTTTTTGTTTGATTTGGTATTCTACGTTGTTGGCT